GAAAGCAACAAACTGTCTACACTTTAATTTGAGCAGTGGTAGTTGTGTGTTTTATCACTAAACATGATCAACTGAATATCATGACATTTTTATCTCAAAGACATGTGGTTTCTTTCTGAATCCTCACTAGAAAGGATCTTTTGAATATCGAATGCTAAATTACTGTTTTGTATATTCCTTGGAACTAGTGACTCCATCCCTAAAATCAATCAATCATTAATAAACAATGATTGACTGAGTTCCAATTACATATATATACACATATGTATATATATAAATTTATGCTTTAGCTTATTGGGTCTCAGCCTTTCCTGTACATTAGAATCAAACTGGGGATCTGAAAAAACTACTACAGTGTTACCTAAGGCCAGACTAATTAAATTAGAATTTCTAGAGATGAGGCTCAGAACTTGCGCAGTAGAGCCTCACATATTCCCAGGTTAGGTCCTTTTCTCATGAGCAGAGACTTTTCCCACTGATTTGTAATGCTTGTGCCTGGAAAATTAATCTTAAAGCAGTGATTTTGAACTGGTGTGCCATTAGATGTGCCGCAAAAACTTTTAAAGATCATTAATAAAATTATTTTTGAAAGAAGTTCAAAGCAGAAAAAAGTATATTCTTTTTTATGCTTTTTTCTTTTTGGATCAACATAATTTAAGTGTGCCTTGGAGATAAAAACTATAGGTTCAAGTGTGCTGTGAGATAAAAAAGGGTGAAAACCACTGTTTTAGAAAACATGTTTTCTAAACCAGGCTCAGTTTAAGATGCTTGATAAATTTTACTTACTGCCTATGTGATTAGGGAACAATACTTAGTTTCTCTAGAAGGAACCAACGTTTGTTAACTGATGTTTAGTAACAGGACCTTTATAAGCAATTTCATTCTCTATCCATGATTTTATTTAATTATCAAAGTTAATGTAGAAAGTCAATAATATTACCTTGATTTTACACATGGGGAGATTGAGGTTCATATGTTTACTCTAAATCATAAATATTGTTTATTGAATGGCCAGACACAAGGAAAGATATTTGTATGTTATCCCAGGATCAGATCCACATTGTCATACTTATGTTCCCTAGAATACAATCTTTGAGACACTGATCTGTCAAGATGTTTTGGGAAAAAAAGGTTCTGTGATCCAATGGGTTTGGGGACTACTAAATGCTTTTTCACCTTGTTGAAAATTCTCATTGCCTGACAACATATTACGCCGATTGACATATCATATAGTAGAGGAGCTTTTACTGTGATGCTCCGTGGCTTATTTAACCATGAAAATTTTACTTGCGAAACACTTGCTAATGGAACCTATTTTGAAAACTGCTACTTCAAAACTTTATGATCTAGAAATTATGTCCCAGTATTACATATTAAGAAATCAAGACTCTGAACAATTTGGTAACTTGCCGATGGTCATTCAGCATGTGGCTCTACTAGAAATTGAGCCTAAGTTTAATTCATTAGAAAATGTGTTTTTGATTCTAAAATCTATGACTCCAGGCTGCTGACTCTGATGCCAATTTCTCTGTCAGTGATACTGTGTTAAAATTGTTGAAAGGATCAAATGTAATGCTGTATCTGAAAACATTTTGGAAACTATAAAATACTATATAAATATCAGAATTAAATGGCATACAGTCTAAAGTAGGATGCAAATATTAATTTTAGGGAGGGATAATTTCTTTATTCAAATTTCTGAATTATGCTTTTGAAGGATGATCTCTGTACAAAGTCAAGTTTTGTTAGTTATTGCTGATCCTGATTGATTGTTTACTTCATCAATCATGCTTGAACTTTTTTGGTAGCATTTTTGGTTTATTAAATAATCTCTGGGAAAACACGCTTATATAGTTTCTGGTTTCTATATGCTGAATCAATGAAATGTGAAACTAATAATGCAATATTTATCCCAACATCTGATTCTATTGATTATTAAAAGGCCAACTCTGGCTTGGGACAAATAGTACGTTGCTCCTACTTTCACAGTAGTAAAAAGTTGCTAGTGTCATTCATATTTTCTTAGCAAGGGTGAGAAACATGGGCAAGCGTCAACTTTCCTGAAGATGCTTTATTGGACAAAAATAGAGTCGACCGAAGAGACTTGTGATTCAAAAATAGGGACCCATTTAAAACTAAAAAGAGAGAAGGTAGATTACTACATGACTACACAGTATACTTCTGAGGAGTGGGTTTTAGGGGATCCCTTGATGTGTCCAAGGGTAATCTCATTGAGGAGAATAGAGACCAACTGATCCCATATTGAGGGAAGATAAAATGCATCCTCAATTCCCTTATTCCCTGTGAAGGGGAAATAGGCCCCGAGGAACCAGCAGGTAGATATTCTGTGTCAGCAAGTTGAATTAGAGAGGAGTTATTTTCAACTCTTTAAAGCAGGTGGAAAATAAATCTACAGAGATCTGTAACTAATCATTGTGGAAATTCTTTATTTTTTCCCTTCTTCCTTTTGCCCCCAACACAACTTAGAATGAATTAATAATGGTGATGGGTCCAGAGGAATGAGTGTGAACATGGGAATGTTCAGAAATGATTGCTCCTGTAACAGCCACTCTCTCCTGGATGAGTGGGAAGGAAATGCAATAACATCTTATGGAAAGACGTTCATCAATGCAAAGAGAGTGGGCAAATGAATGGCAAATAGAAAATGCTATGGATTAGTTCTAGATTGGGGCTTTGCTTAGATCTTCAGAGAAATATAGATGAAAAAAATCACAGTGTTTTAGAGACTCTGAACCTATAGAAGTTTGTCAAATTCTACAAGTGAACGTTACCTGAGAGCTTGATGTTAATGAACTTCTGCCCAGGAATCATTCTTGACTGTGGTCTATGGCCACGAGTGATGTTCGGTTTAGCTAGTGCTCTCCTGTTACACCAGAGGTCTCAAGTTTTGTTTTCTTTCTCTGGATCATAGTTTTTGAATCTTTAAAATCTGGGTCACCTTTGAGTCTTTGTGTAAATAATACATTTTGCACAGTAGAATCAATCTGAATTAACAATTGACATTGTTATGGAGTTACGTGCTTATAGAGAAGATGTGGATTTCAAGTAGTTTGAAAATGTGAAGATCTACACAATGTATATGAGACAGGGAGAAGGAAAGAGGAGGGAAAAAAGTTTACAAAGACGAAAAGAAGCCTAGAGGATTAGCATTTTTTTGTCACGCTTTGCCCTGCTGGAAGCCCGAATGTCCTTTTTCATGAGGAAAGAGTCACTTATATTTAATGCATGAAGATAGAACTAAGATGACTATTTGGGCCAGAGCAGATTCCTATAAATACACATCTCTGGGAGTCTCTATGCCCCTAGCATGCCCTGCTTCAACACACAGGGCATGTCTGCTTCTAGTGTCTTGAATTCAATGTCTAGAGGATACGAATTTTGCTATCCTAAAGGAATAGGGGAATTATGGCTATTTATGCTTAGTGGATATAGATACCATCAACAATACCAATTAGTAGAAACAATTTCTACTGGGCACACTTTTTCTTTTTTAACTGATTACACAGTATGAACTGAGGACTGTGTCCGAATCCCTCTCTCCTCGCGAATTAATTTGCCACATTCTAAATCCGTAGATAAAGTAGTTCCAGAAGTGGAGTTGGTTGGATGGGTTTGCTTACACTGCAGTCCATAAAAGAAACAAAAAGCCTTGCATGCAAAAGAAATGAGAAAAAAAATATAGAAAAATGAATAAATCAGAAGTAAGAATGAATGTTTAAATGAAAATTTAAATCACATGAAGCTGGCAACTATGAGAAGCACATTAAAGCATCATAAATACAAGCTTTTATTTTTCATATTGTTTGCATAAGACAAGACACCTCAAGAGCAAATCGAAAGATAAACAGATCAGTCCCTTCTCCCCTTTAATTAAAGACAGTTTTCTACAACGATGTCTAGGAAAGGGGTACTCATTGTTCTCACAGTTGCCTTGTAATTCTAGGGAAGATTTTTAGGTAAAACCAGGTTATAATAAGTCATCCCCTATTTGGGGCACTTAAGGAGGGCTTCCACTTAAAGACAGTGGATCTACTATCAGGTTATTAATCAGAACCAGCCATGTAATTTGCAGGGCCTAGTGAAAAATGAAAATGTGCAACCCTTTATTAAAAAATTATTTAGAATTTCAAGATAGTGACAGCAGAGCATTAAATTGGCTCTGTTATTAATAGCCTAGGGTGTCAAAATTCTAATAATATCTTTAAATTGAATGGGTAGCCTACAGCACTACAATGGCCATGAGCTTTGTACTCTGTTTATTCCAGTATACTTATGAAGGAATCATCTTAAATCACCATCAGCTTTTTCAGAAGAGTATAATTTCCTTCAAAAATCAAAATCATAGACCAAGATGGTGAACTGCTGAAATTATCTTATAATTTTAAATACGCTTTTGAACAATAAAGTCTTAAATATATTTTACTGTCATTTTGAATTGTTTATTATATTCCTGACAAAAAAAATATTTGGAGTGAATTACCCTTTTACAAATTATACGTTGACATAAGCAAATGCTCAATTTCACAATGCTACTTTTATATCCTTATATAAGTTGCTTTGCATTAGTACATGTGCTCAGATTCTACACTTAAGGGCTGGTTTCTCTCAAATACCTTTTTATACCTTTTCCAATTTTGGATTTATTTCTTCCTTGCTTTCTCTAGGGTTTCTATGTTAAGAGCAAATAAGTGTGAGAGAAATTAACTGAGTTTGGAATTTCTGCACTGTCATTCCAAACAGCACTAATTGGATTTAGTGTATAAGGCTCTTCCTTCTCATTAATAAATGATGGAGCTACAAGGCCCAGAGCACCTGGCAGGGGTTCAATAGGTTTTTACTCTAACTCAAAAATGGCTGTTCTGGGCATCTAATTCAATAGACTGTTACAGAAAAAGGCCTCAAGCCTACCCTCCCCACTCCCAATTTAAAATAGATAATGCAAACTAGAAACTACCCAGCCCTAGAAAAAGATGACTCACCTGTTCGATATCATTGTTCTTCCGTGATTTGTATATGAATTCTCCAATAGCTACAAATACAGAAAGGACCAGTCCGGCAGCCAGAACAATGAAGATGCCCCCAATGTTCTCTACCCCCAGCGCGCTGGCCTCCTTGCTGTCCTCCTCGGGGCAGCCGTTCCCACGCCACCACTTCTCTTTCATCATGTGCAGTTTGCCTTCTTCTTGGAGTTGAAGAATAGCGATCGTAATTTTATCCCGGTAAGGAGAGCCTGGAAGTGAAGTCATTGGTCAAAAAGAAATGTGAAGGTGACATCAGAAAGTACTTCTGTCCTAGTGCTAACCACTTTATGGTTGTTATAGACCCCTGACTCACAAGTCAATTAGCAAAGGGCAGGAAAGTTCCATCCTCTATTTTTAAGGCTCAGAATAATTTGGAAAGGGGATCACTGACCCCCGGCCCAGACTGTTGACTTCTTTTAAATAAGGAAAAGCTAAATTAGGAATTCCTTGACATAACTGTCTCTGCTAAGTTCTTCATGAGTCTTTTCTCACATCGAAAGTTTTTATTATTTAGATTCTACATTTTGAGGTCCTGGCTTGTCTCATATCACAACTGAGCATGGCTAGATGACCAACAGGGCCATTTCCTCTCCCTCTCAGGGGAGTGACTGGACACTTTTGCTCTCCCTTAGAGTTCTGTGTGGTCACGTGACTGGATTCTGGCTGATGGGAGCTAAAGAGAGTTTTGACATTTTCAGTCTTTGGGCCATCAATCTTCCCAATTTGATCTTCTGTTCTTTCTCTCTCCTTTTTCCCAAATATGCCATAAAAAAAAAAAAAAAAAAAAAAGGATTTCAAGTTGCTAGCATTGATGGAAATACAAAATAGAAGGAATTGGGTCCCAGAATGACTGCAGGAAGCAGAGCCTCCCTTTCAATCCACAGTGGACAATGACAATCAATAGTTACTGTGTAAGCTCCGGAAAATTTGTGGATGTTGGTTATAGCTGTTAATCCATACTGACTAATGCACCTAGTAAAATGAACATAAGAGTAAGTTTTGAATCATTCAAAGGTCTACAAAGTTCAGTTAGTTTGGAAGATTTTCAAGAGCTTTATTGATATTATTTACACTCTATCTTTTATTAATGTTATTGAACTTCTAATTGTGTAAGGGTTAGAGAGTGCCAATGTCTGTATGTAGGCATAGCCTCTTCTCCCTACTGGATTCCTGTTAATCAATGCAAAGGAAGAGATAAGGTAAGATTGTTTAATGCAATTTCTCCTGGCATGCTAAGAACTTTCTGATACTAGGTAGGAAAGTAGCACACTCTGGCTCTCTCCATTTGCAAATTTTAAAGTGTTCCTTGGTGGGAGTAAGTTGATAAACGAGGCATCCTAAAATCAGAATAAATTTTAGAAATGACATAGTTCAGTCCATTTGTTTTAGAATTGAAAAATGTAGGGCCTGAAATTATGAGTGATGCTAATAGTTCCTGACAGAGCCAAGAATCAAACTCAATTCTCCTTACGTCTTAGTTCTTCTCACTGCTATTTTTGTGAACATAGTCCCACACCACTTCTCCCACCGCCACATAAGCTTTTTGTCCTATGGCATAGTTTAAGTTAGAAAAACAAAGATTAACATTCCTCATTTGTTTCTGTCTTTAAACTTTCTAAAATACTCATTGGCACTTAAAATGAAATTTAAAATACAAGCATAATGCTTTGGGGGGAGATCGTGACTTGTCAATTAAGAGTATGGAATTTTGGTGGGAAAGAATGGGTCTTGAAAACCAAATTAAAAGATATTGGTTGTTTGCTTAAAACAACTCCCTTCTGAATAATGGCTGGCATCAAAATTAGCACGATTAATGCACCCATGGCAGGTGAGCAATTAGGTAAACCAGGAGCCCTTTGCTTTAGCGTATATGCAAGTGCTCTGAAGAGTGTAGGAATGACTCTTACGCTAGTGGGGGCAGCGGTAATCATAGCAGTATACACAGTGGGCACTCAGTAAATGCTGACTGATGCTCTCCATCTGTCTCAGGCTGCACAATACCTGAAACATGTCAGACAGATGGGAATCTGATCTCTGTTTGAAGTTGGTCTCTAAGAAAGGTAATTTCCAGCCTCCCAGTCACCTTTTTAAATCTTAACTGCTCTCATTCTCTTGGAGTTTTATTTTAAATCCCTCAGGTGGTACATTTCCAGAACTTCTGTCCTGAGTGTCTCTAAGAAGCAATGTCTTTAATTTTGTGTTTTGACTGATTCTATTTTGCCAAACTTTGATCGTGGAACAGAGTCTGGGGCCATAAGGGTGTCAGGGCAATACGGTAAGCATGCACAGTATTATAAATATCTGGATGGATTTTAGCTTCAACTTTTCTTGTCGTTGTTTAAATGGACAGAATAACATTGGAAGTGATTTATTATGCCACTTGAAAAAAGTGTACATGTATACCCGCCGAACTTCCTAAATAGCAACTGATCTTTCTTAAAGAGTCAATTCGTCATAGAGGAAATATCTCACAAATTTTTCCAACAGCTGTATTCCCAATGGATGTATTCTCTCTGAGGTCTGCCATCTGTTTCAATTACTCCTTCATTGTTTTTGGTTTAAAAGGATGACATGTTTATAACCACCGTGAAAAATTCCTGGAGTATATTTCTTTTCATCTAAGAAGTGGGGAGAAGGCTCTTCAACTTTGGAACTTGGGTGAGGCTGGCACCAAAGAGAATGAACATGTATGTTCAGATCTCTCTACATCCTCCATCAGATGCAGTGATCCTCGTCCCGGGGTTGGCCTCATTCACACAAGCAGGCAAAGTGCTGTGCTCATGTAGGAGAGTTGCGGAAAGGAGCCCATTGTCCCGTCCTGCCCCTCAACTGCATGTTACTCACCATATGAACAGAAATTTTAGCTTTTGAGTTATATTCTATTGGGGAATAGATAGAATAGAATATTCCTTCTATGAGGAATGTTCTCAGGAGAAGTGATACACATTGTTAATTTCCATCATTATTAACGGACAGGAACTTTGATGGTGAAAAGTATATTAAAATGTAGTGGGGATCAGGTTATGGGGTGGAACATGGAAGAATAAAAGGGGCACTTTTTTTTGACTTTGTAATTCAGTTCAGAGACAGTTCTATTAAGAATCTCTGGTTGCTCTCTAAGGAGATGCAGACTATATTACAATCAATCTTAGGGTCCTAATTCTGCAAAGATTTAGGCAAAGACACCCACTCCTGGAGCTCTTATCTGAGTTATAGTCCATTTGACTAAAATTGGCAGTGATGAGATATAAAATACAAGATCGGTCTAACTTCCTCCACTTCTTTTTTTTTTTTTTTTTGCAGTTGTTGGCCGGAGATGGGTTTGAACCTGCCACCTCTGGCATATGGGATTGGCACCACCCCTTCCTCCACTTCTGTTATCCAAAATGAGGTGGCAAAGTGTGGTTAGGGAGATGGGAAATTGTTTTTGAAATCAAAAAAGAAGCATAAATTCCTTTCAGTTAGTGCTTAAAATCCCACTGGACCCCCTGTAGAATATGTTGGGTAAATTATAGCAGTTTACCACTGGGGGGATATGCACTTCACTAGTAATATTTCCTTCCTTCCTTCCTTCCTTCCTTTCTTCCTTCCTTCCTACCTATCTTCCTCCCTCCCTCCCTCCCTCTATCCCTCCCTCTCTTTCTTTCTCTCCTTCTTTCTTTCAAAACAGAGTACTCACTCTATTGCCCTGGGTAGATTACCCTGATGTCAAAGCTCACAGCAACCTCAAACTCTTGGGCTCAAGCAATCCTCTTATCTTTGCCTTCTGAGTAGCTGGGACTACAGGCATACACTGCTATGCCCAGGGAATTTTTCTATTTTTAGTGCAGACAGGGTCTTGCTCTCACTCAGGCTGGTCTGGAACTCCTGAGCTCAAGCAATCTACCCACCTTGGCCTCCCACAGTGCTAGGATTATAGATGTGAGCCACTGTGCCCAGACACAATATTGGTTTTTCCATCAGGAAAAGTTACTGGAAATAAAGGAGCAAAAGGTAGTTATAGATCCACTAGCCCAATCATTCTGCAGAAGATTTATTTAGAAAATGCACACGAGAATAATAATAATGAAGTTAATTTCTTTTTAGGGCATATTTCTAACACCATGTAGATGACAGGGAGTCAATTTGACTGTGTATTCATGGTAAATGTTGAAGATAATTGATCTCTGAAAAATTAAATTAGTATTAATCAAAGTTGAATATAGGGTATACAATCTGTTTTTCTTAATGAATTTGTTGCCAAATAAAAACATCAGGATAGTCCACTTAAAATTTGTATTTTTTTCTTAAAAAATGGAATATCTGAAAATCTTGTGCTCAAATTCCCACGTGTATACAACCGTCTGTCCTAAAAAGCAGCTGCTTCTTTTAGATAAGTGATATCACCTACAGTTGCCACCAGTCCCTACTGCCTCTGGAGCAGACGCACTTTACTCACTTACGATGTCTGCTTTCCCTCCATAAGCATTTCCTCTTATGATTCCTGCCTGACACTGGTGGTCAAACGGGACACTCACTTTTAAAAAAGAAAAAATAACAATACAAAGTAGCAAATCCTATCTATTTGACCATTGATCCTCTGGCCTGACTGTTCTGGACTAGCCCAATTACCTGGATGATCCCTGGTCGCTTTCCTTTGGAATGGTTGCCAACAAGTTACCAACAACTCATAGGAAAAGAGCAGGTGCCAGAATCCCATATAGCACCATATTCTATGGAGACGAAACAGTAGAGAGAAAGTTTTCTATAGCGAAGAACTCACTGACCTGTGTATATAGAATACTATATTGGTTGTTTATTACAGACATGTAAGAAGACATTGTTGTAGGGGTCTGTATACCTACCAGGCAACGATATGGCCAGGAGAGCCGCTGTACAGAGCTAAGAAACACTGGAGGGTTTTAGATAGTTATTGTTGGTAGAATCTAATATGCTTCCTAAGCAAATTATACGTATGATATAATCTTCATCCTTTTTCTTTTGACTGATATAGTGTTGCTTTTTATCTGACATAGAACACTAGTCCTTTAACTTTTGCCATTTATATTCAAAGTCAATTTCTTTCCATTATAACATAATTCAAATCAGAAAAAAATACATAAGCATGTATAGATAGTGAAGAAAATAATGTAAAAAAATTAGAAGGATATTATCTTGAAGATATTTCTTGGGGGTAAAATTTTTAAAAATTCTATACTTGTAAACTGTTACGTATGTATACGACTTGAAAGAATAATGTTTAAAAGTGCTTTAAGTTAAATATCAAGAAATCTTCAGTTCATGCTATGCCTCTGATCTATATGAATGTTTGTCTTATTTATTTGTTCACTAAAGGCATTGTGGGCTACTGAGAGCTGGGAATAGAGAACTCTGAATCTATTCCCTTCCATACTTATAATTGATGTTCTATCTTGGTCATGGCTAATGTACGTCCCTCTTACCAATTGGCGTTCCCACTCCATAGCCTTTGGAGTCGATGAGGCCCCCGATCTGAGTGAGGTTGCAGTTTCTCTGTGTCACGTATTCAATGCTGGTGGACTCCATCAGCAGGGCGTAGTCGGTGGTGAGCACTCGCTGGATGCCCTCATCACTGTTTTTTACCAGTGCAGTCTGCTGCCTGCTGCTCATAAAAGCCCACATCTTCTCATAGGTGGATATCTTTGATTTCTGCAGGGAAAGAAAGCACAGCCACCAGCAGAAGAGTGCTGAAAAAAATATGGCCTAAAGCTATTCTAAATCCCAGTGCATCAAATACTACGGGAAGATTTTTCTCTGCAGGTAAGGAACTGAGATCGATGATCCCAGGGCTTCAGTTTGGTAGTTGAGAAGGGCTCAGTTCACTACAGGAAAACATTTGGAGTTACTGAGCTAGCGATCGCAGAAAAAGAGAACTTGACTGATTGATTAAGACATTGGCTCAAGGTCTTTTCACTGCTTTCAGTGAGGGAAGAAAGAACCTTGGTGTCAAAAATTGCCTTTGCCTAATGAACTATGGCCACTTAAGAATAAGCTATAGTGGTCCACTGGGCCAGCAAGTGACCAGCTCACTCCAGGGCTCTCCTCATTTTCTCTGTTTCCTTCTGCCCACTCAGCTTCAACAAGCATTGTTTTACTGTTTGCAGGTCTGTAATTTTCAATCCCCCATCTAGCATTCCTTTGCTGGGGAAAGAATAAATCACTGTCTTTCCCTGCTTTATTTGTAAAGGAATTGCCATTTACTCTTTTCTAAAACACCTAGAACGTAAATGATCTTTTCAAATTAAAATTCATATCAGAAAACTCTGCAAACCATGTATACAATTTTAACTGCAATCATATTAAATAATGGCAATGAGAACCGTGTATCTCATTTGGACGTGTTCTGTAAGTTAGTGTTTTCTCATATTCTCAGCTTCTTGCTAGGTTAAATAATAAACTATACATATGTCACATACTATATGCACCTGTAATACATCTATGCATCTATGAATACATATACTATCTCATTATATTACTGTCATTGTTAAAATACGCTGTGTCAGTTTTTGTAATTCTTAGACATGGATTTTACATTCTCTTGAATAGTGATCCACAGTCAGACAATGCGCATTTCAATTGGTCATTTCCCTATAGTTCCAATATTTTCTGAATTTGTTTTCATTTGCATTGATACTCCTCTCCATTTGTTTCAATGATGAAAGAAGTCATGAAAATTACTGATATTTTTAACCAAACTCCAATTCTCCAATTCTGATTCATGTATGCTGTGTTCACACACATTCAATAGACTCCTTGGCAGGCACAAGATGTATCATCTCGTGAGCGCAGAGAAGCTTAAAACATGATTTTAGGCCATAAGCAAGAAATAGAATACCTGTGAGTCAGCTCTATCGTGGTTATTCATGCTCAAGTGTTCCGGGGGGTCACTCTATTCCCAATTCTATTTGAGACCTGGGTTAATACTGTGGGGTTTATGAGTTAGGGAGGACAGATGGTTTTATTTTGGATTGTTAGGCATTTGAAAGGCCCCCTGAGAAAGGTTTTGAGCCAAATAACAATTCAATAAACAGTACCTTATAGATACTGGTATTTTATGGGACCCATTCTGTCATGAGCTCTGCCAACTGGAGCTCATGTCTCCATGACAAAGTTATGGTTTGGGAGTCAGGATTAGTGCCTCATCCGCTGTGTGATTTCAGTCTTGCTGAGCCTGATAATGCTAAACTTATAATAAAAGGCTCCACATACAAGTTGGGAAGGTCAGTCTATCCTCAGCAGTAAATACACTGGTGGGAAAATTAGTCTTCCATCAGGAAACTGCCTTAAGGGAAAATAATTTTCTTCAAAGTATAAAATTTTAAAGTTATCTGAGACTTTAAAGATCAGCTCATTCACACTTCTGCTTTCATGGAGGAAGAACTTCTAGTCCAGAAGTTTGGGTGATTTTAAAAATCACTAAGCAAATTAATATCACAGCTAATCTTGGACCCCAGAACCCCCAAATATATAGTTCAATACTCTTTCCTATCCTGATTTGTGGGAGGTGGATGTCTATATTGTTAAAATTCTTTTGAGAATGGTTTTAAGCTTATTTGATCTACAATGTTAAAATACATCTTATATTCACGAACTTATATTATCCCCTGCGGCAGTTTGCTAGTTAGTCTCATGTTAATACAGAACAGGAATGAGCCTCCATATGAAAACAGTCATGAACCATTTTTTCACCATATTTAAACTTTATTAAAATGAATGTAAATACAAGAGTGAATTTTTGGTTTATGGAAGTTAAGCACACACCTGAGGAAATGGTTACTTCATCCCTGGTAAGTGGACAAAGTATGGAGAGTTTTTTAAGGGATCCAGGGAACTGAAGGACATAGAAGGGGTAAAAAGATTCTACCCTAAACCTACACAGCTGTTATGGATGCAGGTGTGGTTCTCAAATTATCTGAAACGTATCAAATGCTGAGTCTGTGGCAGACCTAGCCATGATCCTAATACGCATGAGAAGAATACAGGTCCTGCCACATGTGACCTCAGATGGGAGCCCTCAACAGCCCTCTGAACTGAAGGAAAAGAGACATGGAGAGCTCAGTACCATCACAACATTCAACAGCGGCAACGTTTCTGAACTTCTCCTCTCAGTGTTTTCCCTTATCTTGTCACAACTTGGTAACAAAAAATTTCCAGAGAGGAACACTGCTTTATGCAGCATGGGGGGTGGGGTGGGGGGGTGTCATGGGTTTAAATCCAACGATATCCATGTCTTCCTTCTTGGAGTAAAAGTTTGTCCTAGCCCTGACCTCCCCAAGGAGCTACAGGGGAAATCTAGTTGGCATGGACAAGTTTAGAACAGGGAGGGTGGAACCTTCTCTCTGTTACTTGGTAGGGGACTTGGTCAAGTTGAAGATGTAGAAACCATTGTAAATTCTTTTGACCCCTTGCTATTCATTTTCCAGCTAAAAATGGTAAATCTACTGAGGGAAAGAAGAGCACCCCTTTGCTTTCATTTTGATTCTCATTCGTCATTTAGAAAGGTTGCTAGAGTGGGGCTTCACTGTACCCCACATTTAGAATTATAGTTCTACATGAGATGTCAGGGAGCTTAGAGTTCACAGGAAGACCCAAAACAGGCTAAGGAATAACTTTTTTAATAGTTAGAGATATCAGTAGGCAACTCAAGCATCTTAGGATATAGTGAGTTTTCCAGTACTGAACACATAGAAAGAGAACTTCATGCTTAGAAGAATTTCACTTAAGGATCCTTCAACCCTCAGGTTTTACTCTCGGGAGCAGCCTCTTCCTAGTATTATACGCTGGTTCTGAGGTCAGAGACAGTAAGGGACACACAGAAGGGCTCAGTTGTTTAATGAAAGAATCAGTAAAGAATTGGGGGCTCTTTCCTCTTGGCTCCGCACTTCCTCCACAGTCAGGCCGTGTTCTATAATGTTTATTTTTTGTGAGATCAAAAAGTATCATTCGGGGAGTAGTTAAATTACATGTATTCTTTTTCAGCAGAATTTTCCATTTCTATGATACAAATTTTAATAATTCTTAAAGACAGGATTATACTTCATGGGAAATTATCATAAATATTAACAGACCTGGCAGGCTGTGTGAATGACAGCCTGCGTGTTTTTGCCTTTCTCGATGATGTACAGACTCAGCTAGCCGCAAAATCACTCACAGTAATATATATTTTAAAACAGAAATAGCAATTGCTTCTCATTTCACTGCCTCTGTCAAAAGTTAATTAGAATATTTGGAATGTCTCTGAGCTTCTTAACAAAAGTTGCTAAAACTGAAAAAGCCTCATTTATGAAATCTAAAAATCTTATTTAATTGTTTTTAACTTTGGAAAGCCATCCAGTTGAGATAAATTAATTTTGTGTATTTCAACCTGTTTATGTGTCTGTCCTGATGCTGGCGAAACATGGTTGGCAAAGAATAAGCATTTTTCATCTGAAATCTGTTATAGAGAATATCAGTATTAGATGATTCCTATTTCTTTCTTTCTCTTTTTCCCCGTATAAAGCGTGCAGATTAAACACTCATTGGGAAATAGTTAACAGTGTGTCTCTCACCAGTTAAAAACTACTATTAAAAATAGTAATGATAACCAGCACGTACATTGTTTACTGTGTACCAAGCACTCTTTTAAGCACTTTGTATACATTAATTAATTTATCCTTCACAATAATCCTATCAGGGAGGCACCACTATTATTCTCATTTACAGATGAGGAAATAGAACACTGAATGAAGAAATGCTGAAAGCAGGATTTGGCCCCAGGAGTCTGGTGCCAGGGTTTGTGTTCTTAACGAAAGAAGAATTAACCATTTTGTTGTAAATGGACCATCCAATTCCTGGCTCGACTCATGTTTCACCAGAAATAACGCATTTTCTAAAGAAATAGTTGAAGTTAGTGGCTGTGGCAGCTTTCTCTCTGATAGCCAGAGCTGTTGCCGCTCACCATGTAAATAGTGTTAATAGTGTGTAAATGCGCACACACTATTTGCGTGGCTTTTATCAGCTTACGTGTGCTTAGATAAAAACTTAGACCACATTTTGGAAAGCTCAAACGTGGAGCCTGAAAAAAATGTGGATATTGTTCATAATTTTTTCTTTCCTTTAACAGTATTTTTTGCCTTCTATGTAGTTTCACTGTCTGTGGTTTAAGGCTTTCTGCAATAGGATATATAGTGTGTGCAAATTCGGGGGGTAGTGTGGTCTTCAGACTGATGGAAACTTTATTTTATAGAAACCTCTCTCTCATGTTTCATCTTTCTGGAGACGAACATTATTTATCACATTATGGTTTTTCAACCAAATCCCAAGGCTTCCACAGTAGGATATATAATCCTATTATTCAGTAGAATCAATAACCCTGCACAATTCTACTTCAGACTAGTATAACTGAAGATTTTATCTGAGTTTATGGATGTTTATGTTTACAGCTATTTGTAACTCCACATAACTTAGATACACATTGAGAATAAATTATTGATATTTTATCTTTGTTATCTTATTAAACATGATCTTAGAAGTGGTAATATATGCATACTCAGAAGATAAAATATTAAAACAATTACTTTTTTTTTTTTAGAGACAGTCTCATCTTGTCACCCTTGGTAGAGTGCTGTGGCATCGTCACAGCTCACAGCAACCTCCAGCTTTTGGGCTTA